ACCTGAGGTACTGTGTAGGGCTTTACTCAGGCTTGTGCTGCCTATGGTTTGCAGTATTTGCAGTCCTGGGGTGCACCTAGAGGGAAGGAATTGGGCATCCCTCTGGTGAGAAGGTGCCAGACCCCCCTGTGTGGCTCTGCAGGGAGGAGAAGGGCTGTGGCCCTGCAGAGTGGTGGGCACATCACCTCGGGGCTGCAGAGCACCCCCATGACTCCCCACTCTCTGCAGGCCGATGTGTTTGCATACGGCATCATCCTGTGCGAGACCATTGCTCGTGTGCCAGCTGACCCTGACTACCTGCCCCGCACTGAGGTGACTCTCTGGGATGGGAGCAGGGGGAGTTGTGGGTAGCAGCACTGAGGCTGGGGCCACTTCATCAAACAAGGGGGGCCATTCTGATTTGGGCAGAGACCCATGTGCAGGACTGGTCCCACATCTCAGGGCCAGGATGCTGCACTCCACTTGCTGCCCAGGGAGGGATGGTCTCTGCTGGTAACCTCAGAACCCAGAGTGAGCCTGAAAAGGAGAACAGGGCAGTTGGATTCAGGCAGAGACCAGAAGTGGTATCTGTGTCCTAGTATCCCCCAACCTTGGCCCAGTTAGGGGTGACATCAGGGTGCTCCCCTGCTGTGTCCCCACTGGGGTGCTTCCAGGTGCACAGTCTTGTGTGACAGTGCAGGGGGGAGTGGGCCAGCCATGTTAGGTCCCCTGGGCCTTGTGGTGCCACAGGAGACCCAACCTTACTCTTCTTCCTTTTCCTGGTGCAGGATTTTGGCCTGGATGTCACCACTTTCCGCACCATGGTGGGAATTGACTGCCCAGCAGCCTTCCTCCAGCTGGCTTTTCACTGCTGCAGTGTGAGACTCCCACCTCCACTGACTGCCCTTCTCAGCCAGGGCAGGCAGGCAGGACAGGCTGCCTTGCCTGCTCACAGGGTGATGAGGGAGCTGTCTCTGCTGTGCAGGGCTCCCTGGGGTGCTTGAGGAGGCACAGACCTGATGGGGAATCCCTCCTGCCCACAGATGGAGCCCACCTCCCGCCCCTCATTCCTGGAAATCACGCAGTGCCTGGAGAGCATCCTGCAGCACCAGCTGGACGCCGAGGGTGCCAGGGCCACCCTGTTTGGCATCGGGGAGAGTCTGCCTGCATCTGGAACCACAGCCACACTCAGTGGTACGTGGGCGCCTCGGGGACAGGCCATAGCAGGGTGTAAAGATGGGGGAGTGTGGGGTTTCCCATCCCACCCCATCAGCTGTAGGGGAAGGAGACAGGGGTGTGTGAGGTCTGTAGGATAGAGCTGGTCCCTGTTCCTCCCTTGGGGTGTGCTCCTACGTTGTTGGGTGCTCAACACCCTGTAGCACCCCACATGGGCAGCTGCTGGCTGCTGGTGAGACTCTCCTGTGCTCATGCCCAGGAGTGTCCAGGTCAGCCAGCCACACCGAGCAGTCGCCCCTGCGTGAGCTGGGGACGCAGCACCTGCAGCCAGACCAGCACCTGTCCCGCAGCCAGTCTGACATGTTCCCTTCCAAGTCGTCCACCCTGCTGTGGCCGCTGGAGACTTACAGCGGGGCCAAGTCCAAGGAGACGTCCCTCCGTGTCAACCCTTTCTCCCAGCGTGAGGACCTCAAGGGGGGGAAGATCAAGCTCTTTGATACGCCGAGCAAGTCAGTCATCTCGCTCACCTTCAACCTGCCGCCCCCCGTCCCGCTGCAGCTCAGCAACCCTGTGACGCCTGAGCCCGCCGTGGAGGTGCAGTGTGACTTCTCAGCACCCACCACCAGCCCCCGCAAGTGCCACTCTCTGCCCTCCTCTCCTGAGCTGCCCCACCGGGGGGGCCTGGAGCTGGCTATGGGGTCCTCTCATCCCACTGATGACCCCCAGCCCTCCACCCTCCTTCCTCCCCCAGCGTGGGGACCAGCGTCCACTCACAGCTCCAAGGCAGAGGAGCAGATGGACTACAGCCCAGACAGCCCTGAGCTGGTGCAGCCCACCCCACTGCCCCTCAACAGCAACTTCATCCGCACTGCATCCTCGGGCACACGGGCCTGGCAGCCAGATGTGCGGGCCTCCAACGGGCTCCTCATCAACAACAACCACGTGATGGTCAGCAAACCTCTGGCCTGGGGCAGCGGGCTGGAGCACGGCTTCTCTGAGCTCAGCATCTCCTGTGCAGCAGCACTGGAGCGGACGGAGCGCTCAGCCATGTTGCCTGGGCACAGCTCTGCTGCCATGCTGGAGCAGGACGAAGTGCTGCCCTGCCCTGGCTGCTGCCTGAGTCCCTTCAGCTTCAGCTTTGCCTCCATCTGCCACCGGCCAGCGCCCAGCCCACCCTGCTACCAGAACCTCAACTGCGAGGCTAAAAGCCTCATCTACCACGATGGGGGCCAGCACCAGAAGGCCCCGGGGCCAGTGCTGGCCAAGCCCAGCCTGAAGCTGCCGGAGGCGCAGTCCTAGTGATGGGGACCCTGGAGAATGGGGCTGAATCCAGCTGCCCTTTGCACCCCTCTGCAGCCACAGCACTGGGTAGTGCAGGAGCCTGGCACATCCCCATGGTCTGTTATCACTCGGCACGTGGTGGCTACCAGTGGCCATGGTGCCAAGTGCTGTGGCTGCCGCGACGCCACCCAGGCACTCAGGCACCCACCCCACCAGGATCAGCCTTGGGGATCTGCAGGGAACCCTGGAGGTGGGCTGGGTCTCTGCTGGGGACCAAAGTGCAATAACACTGCTGCCCTGAGCACTGCCCCAAGCGGCAGGGCTGGTCCCCCGCGGGGCCACAGGGCTCAAGCCCTGGATCCAGGATCCCCTTTCCCCAAGGGCTCACCCTTCTGCAGGATCTTGCTAAGGGGCATATAATGAGCCTGCTACCTTGGGAGAACTGGGAGCCCCCTGCACTCAGGGGGGTGAGAGGGACTGGGCTGGGGTAGAGAGGTCAGCGTGCGTTATGTGTGTTTTTGGGGATCCTGGGGGGCTGGTGGGTGAACCCGTGTGTGTCCACAAGTGTGGGGAGCACACCAGTCCCTGACATGGGGAGAAGAGGGCAGGGGACCGTAGAAGGGCAATGCCCGTGGGCAGTGCACTGGGAGGATTGCCAGCATTGGGGTTGTCCCTACCTGACCGATGCTGAGAATTGGGTGCTGAGTCAGAACAGTGCCTCACATCTCCCTGGCACGCAGGTTTGGGAGAAGGATGCTGGCAGAGGGGCCAGGATGCCATCCTGGCATCATGGGGATGGGGCCAGTGGGCAGCACAGTTAGGCTGCCTGGCCCCCCGGCAAGGGTGGGAGCCGGCTTTCCTCCCTCCTGCACAATGCACTGGTGAATGCAGAACTCTTTGTGTTTTTTATTATTATTAATAATAATTGCTAGTAATATATACCCAGCTTATTTAAAGTGTTCATTAAAAACTGAATGTCCCAGAAACTCAGACTGCTAGTTCTGTCTCTTGGATGCACATCAGATGTGGGCCCAGAAGGTTGCATAGTCTTGCCTGGGCATTCTGGGGGACTCCTCCAGGACTGCAAACCAACCTGGCTCAGCCCATTATTTCAATTCCCCTAAAGCACCCATCTTGACTTGAGATGGCTTCAGACAAATTCCCTTTCATTATTTAGGTTCTTTGGGTTCATGTCCTTGAGTCCGTGTTTGCTGTGGTGTACAAGAAAACAAAGAGCAGACAAACTGTGTCTCTTTATTGCTATCGAGTCTAGCCAGCAGACAAGACAGACGAGGAACACATGCCTCCTCCAAAAAGCCTGCCGTTAACACCCTTTTGCTCTTCATGCAAGCTTACTCACACAGCAGTTCATCAACTATATATGGCACACACAACCTTATCATAAACCGAGAGCATTTTCGCCTGGTTGAACATAACTTCCTGTGCTCTCACCTGGCTGCAGTGTTACATCAGGGCTGCTTTGCTTAATCTTCACATGTGCACGTGTGTAGCAGCTATTTAAAGCCCTGATGAGTTGTCTTGCTCTGTCAGCCTGCTACAAGTGCCTGAGTTAACTTTCGCTTTTGAAAGATGCAATCACACCATGGGACCCTAAAGGTCATTGTTCTACTTTCTAATTAGCGCAAAAAAAAAATCCCCAAATGTCAGCACAGGCACCAGCCAGTTCGGGCTCAGCTTCCCTCCTTAGGTGCTGAGGCTTTGCCAAGGCCGTTGAGTGCTGGGTGAAAAGCCGTGGTCAAGCTGCTCCTGCAGTGGGGTCGGGCGGAAAATTCCTGCTGTGGGGAGGGAACTGTGTGGGGGTGGGGCTGTGCTATCCCCAGCTCCCGCTCCTGACATGTCAGCAGCACAGCTCTCTCCAGCTGGAGATGTGGCATGGCTCCAGCACTATCAGTGCTTGATCCACTCCGCAGCCAGTTCCGAGCTCCCCACTACCCACCAGCCATTGTGCTCAGAAGACCCAAAGTGTCCCATGCAGGTGTGGGGTCGGCTGTGGAGCCTCTACCACTCAGCCAAAGCACATCAGCTGGAGGCAAAGGGTCACGGGGCATCAGGACCTGGGAGGAAGGACCTGGGTGGCCCAGGAGCAGTGGGCTGTGGGAGGGAAGTGGCTGGCTGGAATGGATGGGACATCCTGGGCACAGCAAGGGTGGAGCAGAGGCAGTGCAAGATGCAGGTGCTGCAAGGGAAAGCAGAGGAGGGTGAGGTAGGGTAAGGGGGAGATGCTACCCAGCCTCCACCACATGCAACAGAGCTGGGAAAGCACCTTGCCAAGGGTTTTCCCCCATCTTCCCCTTTTGCTGAGCCACAGCTTCAGGTCTTGAGCTACCTCAGACCCAGAATGCCCATGGCAGTGAAGGGATGGAGACAGGTTCCATCCAGCACAGGGAGGTGACTGCACTTCTCTGCCTTTCCAAGGGAGAGGGGCTCACCATGCCCCATGCAGAGCTGCAGGGCTCCCTGCTTTCCTTGAGGCACACCCCAAAGAGCGTGTGTCCCTGACTCAGCAGGACTCACCACAGCGGTGCTGGGGCCAGCAGCCACCATCACATGAAAGGGAGGCTTGGCCCTGCTGCCTTCTCACAGATCCAGAGGTGCAGGTCACTGGGACCAGTGCACTGGGCAGGTTTGATGCTCCCACGGCTTATTATGGCACAGGTTCCATTTGATTTTGACTGCCATGGCCTGAATGGGGAAACAACACATCAGGCACTGACATGTTCTTTCTACAAACCCTGCTGAGGCAGCTGCGGCTGCTGACAACTGCCTTTTGTACACTGGCAGAGGAGTGGTCAGATGCTGGAGGCAAAGGGGAATCCCCCAGTCCTCCCCTACTGATTTCACAGGCTGAAGCCTCGGCTGATGTATCCCTGCACTTTCATGGGCAGGCTGAGAAACACTGTAAAATGTTTGCAGTGCTTGAGACACCCCTTTAGCCTCCCCCTTCTCAGCTTCACTGGTGGCAGTTGTTCCATGCCTGCGATAGGGAGAGCCAGGTCCTCCCTGAAGGCATGTGAATGACCAGAGGAGCTGGCCTGAGCCCTGGGTCTGTTCTGGGCACAGCTCCATGGCAGGGCTGAGGATGGAGGGCCAGGTGCCCACAACCTGGCCAGACAGGTTTGTTCCTCCCCAGTGCTCTCAGACACTGCAAGAGGAAGCATCAGTGAGCTGAGGAGGTGGTGCACGTGGCAGGGAGCAGCCCAGGATTCTCCACAGACAGGGAGGCTTATCTCCCTTTGGAGAGGAATCAAGAAGGCATGTGGGGGATAGAGGTGGTGCTCAAACACCTTGCCTAGGGCCCAATTAAAATCTGGGGTTTCTTCCCACTCCTTGCTGCCTCCTGCTTCACATGCCCTGCATTTTACCCACCCCCTAGTCTTGGCTTTCCATTTGCGTGTCCTCTAAGCGCCTCATCACACCATTGCACCCACCTTCCCTCAGTCCCTGCTGCTCTGATGTTCTTTGTTTTCAAGGGCCTGTGCCTGGAACCAGTTACTGGTGGGATTTAAAACACTTCCTAGAGCCATGCCAGAGGACGGGATATTTGGGAAGAGGCAGTGCTGCCACATACCTTTCATAAAGGGAGCCATCCACCCAGAACCAGGCCCCCTCACCCTCTGGGTCCTCTTCCTCCAGCCAGCCATAGTCGTACCAAGGAAAATTGCCCTTCTGCAACCCAATCCAGTATGGGACATCTGCATTCTTCAGGAAGGTCTGGAGAAGAAGAAAAAGTGCTTTTCCATGTTTTATTCCATGGCACCCATGTACTGCCATAGTATATCCTTCAAAGTGGGGTGATCATCTCCCCAAGGAGCCCCTTGAGTCAGGACAGCTGAGCAGCCCTGGTGCCCTGCTCCAGCCTGGGGAACATCCAGGGATGCCAAAGCCTTTCTATCTCATGTCAACCACCAGATATGTGCTCCAGAGAACAGCCTTGTACCCTCCAATGTTTTGGCAGGACAGGGGTCCCCAGAACCATGCTAGCCCATCTGGGGACCTCATAGCTGGATACAGCATCTCCTGCCCTCAGCTCCCCCAGCACCCTACCGGCACAGTCCAGCGACTCCAGGATTTGGTGACCAGGAGCTGAGAATATGTCTTCTCACACTCATCTCTGCTGTCTTCCCAAGTCTTCTTCTCCGAGGAGATGAAGAGGCATTTGCCCCTGTACAGCAGCCAGCCAGAAGGACAGCAATCTATGGGTAGGGACACAGCTGAGGGGCTTGCTCAGCCACAGATACCCTGGGGGGTAACAAGGAACAGTCCCACACCTTCCCAGCAGACATCACAGGCTCAGTGTCTGCTCCGGGCATTGCTTCAGCTCTTGAACCACCTTGTCCCCACCATGTGGTCAAAAAAGCCAGTACTTGCCCCTTGACACCTGCTGAGCGGTGCCAGTCACCCAGAGCACCCCCTCCCTTCTCCACCACCCTACCTATAGCTGTGCAGGAGCGCAGGAGGGCCACTGTGCTCTCGCTGTTGTTGAGCCTCCCCTGCACCTCCTGCACCTCCCTCTCTGTCCTGCCTAGGACCGCCGTGACGCGACGCAGCTCCGTGTTCAGTCTGTCCAGCTGCAGCTGGCTGATGTTGCCCTCGTGCCATGCTCGCTGCAGCTCTTCTCTGGCCCATGCCAGCTCCAGTTGTGTCTGCTCCAGGCTCTGCTCCCGCACCCTCAGCTCCTGTGACAGGCGGCCCTGCTCGGACGCGTGCTCACGGGAGGAGTCCTGCAGGCTGCGGGTGACCTGCCAGTCTGGGGAAGAGGGTGGGTGAGCTGGACATGGGCATGGGACAGTTTGGATGTGGGACTGACCCTGCTTAAGGGAGGTGGGATGGGCAGGGCAAGGCAGAGGTTTATCCATGATGAATGGGAAAAGATGTGAGGGAAGGACACAGCAGGGAAGTGTACAGTTAAGGGTTGGGCATGATCTGGCAGGGGAGAGCAGGACAAGGTAGGATGGATATAGGATGGATATAGGAGCAGACACAGCAGGTTAAGGGCAGGAAGAGTGCAGCAATAATGAGGCTGGACAATGCCAGGATTGGAAAGAAAAGGAGCAGAAATGGAAAGTAAAATTAGGAAGAGGGTAATGGGAGGCAAAGGAGGTGTGAGGGATGTGCGAGGGATATAGGCCAGCTTGTGGCAGACAGGGCATAGGGACTTAGCAGTGAGTGTGCATAAGCATGCCTCTATTCACCCACAGTGCCTACCCCAGCCAGATGCCTTCCTGACCCAACCACTCCCTGCCCCAGATGTTCACAATCCTCCAACTCACAGCAAGCCCCCAGGGCCACAGTGGCCACCAGCAGCAGGCAAGTCACCATCAGACCCACAGGGATGCACCACCGACGAGAGCAGCACCCTGTATGACACAACAGACAACAGACATCACCTGAAGAGCTGGAAAACCCCTAACAGCCCCCAGACCTCCTTCTTGGATACAGGCAGGAGAGTGGTGGCATGACAGCACAAATGGAATGGTGTGGGTGATGGGAGTGGGAGGACCCCAGAATACCACCCACAACCTACACCGGAACCATCCTGTGTCTGCTGGAATCCAGCTAGATACTCACCTGGGTTGGGCTCTGCTCCATCCTCATCCTGCCCTGCCAGTGCTGGCTGCATGTTCTCGAAGGGGCTTTCTGCCTCATTCATGCCAAAGGCTGTTGGAGGAAGGCAGGGGAGAGTAGCTGAGGCCATGGGGCTGGGCATGGCAGGGACAGTGTGTCAGGGCCAGTGGGCTCTCACCTGCCTCCAGCTCCTGGCTGGCCATGCTCCGGCCTCCCATCACTTTGGCAAACCTCAGATCAGCATAAAGCTGGGCCATGTGGGCAAATGCCGGGCAAGCCCTGAGCCTCGCTGGCTCCTGCTCCACCCTTGGGATGCCTTTCTGAGATGTCCCTGTTCCCGGTGATTGCGCCGTCTCTTGGAGGTGCAAAGGAGAAGTGCAGCCAGCATCTGCAGAAGCAGAAGTTTGCTCTGCACTGTAGCAGATGGGAGAAGTGAGGCATGGCTGTGGGGACCAGCACCCTCTCATTGGTCACAGAAACACCAGCCTGTCCCCTCCCACACCCTAGAAGTGCTCATGGTCCCCCTAGGCACAGGGCAGGATGAGGACAGCACAGCCAGGTGTCACAGCAGGGGCAGAGCGAAGGATAGACCAAATGTGTGGTCTACAAGTCAGAGCAGGGCAATCCTGAATACAGGAGCAAATTGCTGCGTGACAGCTCCATGAAAAGCTGGAGGTATTCACAGATAGAGATTTCCTCTCCTAGCCTCTGAGAATGGGACTTTCCCCATGATGTATTTTGTTCCACTACCTCTCATCCCTTCCCTGGACCCTTCCAATGAAGACCCCAACTTTGGCATTGCTCCAAAACAGCCCCAGAGAGTTACAAAAATCAGTGACGTCCCCTTTGCCTTCCCTTCCCAAGACCACAACCCCATGATTCACAACATCTTCCTGGTCCCTCCAGGCCCTCAGTGTCTCAGAGGTCTCTACTGAACTGCATCCAGAGGCAGGTTTCAGAAGGGATGTCCCCAAACCCTCCCACTGCTTCCCATTGCCTGCTACTGCCTCCCTCTCCATTCCACTGACTTACCATTGCCTCCCACTGTCTTTCAGATGGGCACATCTGAACACAGCCAGTCCCTGGGACAGCACTGGAGGTGCACAGTGGTGCTGATGGAGCAGTGTAACATAGCCACTGTCCTTCATTTCTGCAAGAGCAAGGGAAGGTCTTCCTCAGTGGAGAAAGGCAAAAATCAAAGCCAGCTTCAAAGGGGACAGGAAGGAGGTTTAGAAAGCTAAAATTTGGGCAGCCTCTACTCAACCTCCTGGAAGAAAATGGAGCATATCTGCCTGGGCATGCAAGGGCCCAGACCCAGAGAGGACATGCAGGGGAAAGGCCAGTGGCATTTAATGAGTGACTGCCCAATGTACCTCCTACTGCTTGGAAGCACTAGCCTGGGGTCAAGGGGAAAGCAACAGGACCATTTATTATGACCCTTCAGCATCTGGGATGCGGTTTTCCACAGTGTACTTGGTGGCAGAATGGAGACATGTGGCCGTGATGAGAGGAGAAGTGAAAGCTCATGCTGCAATGTGGAAGTCTCTTTTAGGCATCAGGGCAGCGATGCTCAGATCCTGGACCAGAGCACCAAGAAGAGGGAACCTCCATCCTGGATAGAGTCAGCAGCAGACCTCCCTATTCCTAGCTGGAAGCCAGACCTGCTTTCCCCTGCCCTAGGAAATTTGGTGAATTCTCTGTAGGCCGAGCCCTACAGCTCTGCCCCATGCTCCAGCCCCGAGCTGCACCGCCCCAACGCCATCCCCAAGGGACACTGAGCAGTTTTGGGGGGTGGAAGGAAGCGAGATGGTGGTGCCTGGCCAATGGCAGGGCGCCGGTGCCGCGGCCGTACTTTCCTCTCCGTCGCACCTCAGCACACTTCTGCTTCTACAGAAACCAGCTGCAGTTTTCATTCGAAGCAGAGCAGAGCCCGCAGGGCCATCGGGACCGCCCGGGACATGGCCCAGAGTGTGGTGTATGCTGACCTGAAGTTTGCCACGGGGCCCTCATCCACCGCTCCCGACGAGGATGACAGCCCGTACGAGAACGTGCCGCTGGGGCCGGCGGCAGCAGCGCCCAGCGCAGGTGCGACCGGGCAGCAGCCGCTGCCGCGGGCAGCCCCGGCGCAGGAGGCGCCAGGGACCACGGCGTGATGCCTGCGGGCGCTCCTCTCTTGCAGGGCGCTGGACCCGGCGATGGCGCGTCCCGACAGCGCTGCTGGCAGCCAGCCTGCTCCTGCTGCTGCTGCTGTTTGTGGCCGTCGTGGCCCTGGGGGCTTGCCGTGAGTCGGTGTCTGCCGCGGGGTGGGGGCAGCCGGGAGGAGGCACCGGGAGCGGGCGTCGGGCTGGGCGAGGGGCTGGGGGGCTGTCAGGGCGGAGGCGTGCCTGGGGCTCTTGCATGGCCACCACCAGCTGCTTCCCGCTGCCTTTCCCACTGCCTACCACTATCTGCCCGTATCTCCCCATGTCTTTTCCACTGCCTTCCATTGACTTCCCACTGCCTCCCACCCCTTCCCATGGTCTTGCCCCTTCTTCCCGCCAATCCCTCCCACCGCCTCCCACTCCGTGTCACTGTCTCTTCGCTGCCTCTCATAGTCTTCCCACTGCTACCCACTGCTGTCTTACTGCCTTCTGCTGCTTCTCAATCCCTCCCACTGCCTCCCACTCTCTATGAATGCCTCCCATTTCCTCCCACTGTTTTCCCACTGCCTCCCATTGCCAACCATTTCCTCCCACTGCCTTCTACTCCTTCCCTAGTTATTGCCTCCTAATCCCTCTGACTGCCTTCTCATCACTGCCTCCCATTCTCTCCCACTGACTTCCCACTGTCTTACATTGCCTTCCACTTCCTTCCACTTCCTCCCACTGCCTCACATTGCCTCCCCATTTTATTCCCACCACCTTCTGCTGCCTTCCCACTGCTTCCCATTGCCTCCCACCACCTTCCACAGCTTTCTCATTGATTCTCCTTTTCTTCCCACTGTCTCTCGCTGCTTTCCAATGTCTCCCCTCCACCTGCCACCACCGGGGCTTCTGTTCCCTTCCCACTAGCATCCCCACGACAATCTCCACCCACAGCCAGATACTCTTATCCCTACTCTCACTTGCAAGAGGCATGACCCAGGCAGGGCTCCATGCCCATGTCCAGCTCACCCACCCTGTTCCCAGACTGGCAGGTCACCCGCAGCCTGCAGGACTCCTCCCGTGAGCACGCGTCCGAGCAGGGCCGCCTGACACAGGAGCTGAGGGTGCGGGAGCAGAGCCTGGAACAGATACAACTGGAGCTGGCATGGGCCAGAGAAGAGCTGCAGCGAGCATGGCACGAGGGCAACATCAGCCAGCTGCAGCTGAAAAGCAGCAATGCTGAGCTGGGGCATACCCAGCAGGAGCTGGCTGTGTTGCGGGAGGAGATGCATGTGGTGCAATGGAAGCTCAACAACAGCGAGAGGACTGTGAGCAGCCTGCTTGCCTGCATTAACACAGGTAGCGCGTGACAGTGTTGGGGCACAGGTGATGTTGCTGCTGCAAAGATGAAGGGGCTGAACTCAGCCAGGCTGAGCTCCCCAAGCATCCATAGAAGGATGAGTGTCTGAGCTGTGCCCCTGCCCCCAGATTGCTGCCCCAGGGGCTGGGTACTCTTCAGGAGCAAGTGTCTCTTCATCTCAGTGACAAACAAGACCTGGGAGCAGAGCTGGGAGGACTGTGCAGAGAGATTGGCTCGACTGATGGTCCAAGATAACTGGACACCACTGACAGTGCCGGTACAGAGCAGGGGGGTTGTGGTACCCCAGGAGGGTGGCGCTGGGTAGAGCCCCATGGGGCTAGCTGCAGCAGTATCTGTGGAGGTGCCAGGGTGGCACCATGAGCCCCAGATTCCCATCCTGGCAGTCTGATGGGATAAGCACAGCCAACCCTGGGGCTCCTGGGCTCCTAGCAAGTGCTGGTCATGAAGTAGGTGGTTGACAGCTTCTCTCCCCCCTAGTATTTTATGCATGCATCTAAGGCACACTACTGGATTGGAGGAAAGGCAAGGAGATCTGAATGGATGGACAACAAACCTCCCTTGTAAGTGCAAGAGTCCTTGGCACAAGCACCTGCCCTTTTGCCATACTAGAGAGGTGCTGTTTTGCCCCTGTGACACCCTTCGGTAAAAGGGTTGATGGATTTCCATGACCAGTGCCCCAAGGGAGGGGGGGTGAGGGTAGAGCCAAGCTGTGGGGTGCAGTGCCAAATATCCAAGTGGCAGAGAAGTAGAGCAAGAGGAGGAATGTGACACTTCCTAAGAGTGATCTCTGTGCCAGGTGCCTTGCCTGACCCAGCAGCACCGGGATCTATGGGAAGTGGTGTCCATGGTGAGGAGGTTGTCACTACTGCCCTGAGATATGCCATCTTTCCTAGGAAACGCCATACTAATTGCTGGTCAGTAATTAATGGGGAAATGTGGAGCAAGAACTGTGACAATGCCTACCAGTGGATCTGCGAGAAATCCCCAAAGCTGAGCAGTGCATCTGAGACTCAATCTCTTTTTTGACCAAGGACTGACTGCTGCCACCTCCCTCCATCACTGGACTCAGGAACAGGACCTGGGTGTGCACCCTGAGTTCCTCTCTCCAGTGAACACTTTGCCTCAATTGCGTTGCAAAACTGCTGGGAGAAAGTGTCTCTATTTTAAAGCAAGGATTGTGGAAAATAGACCTTATTCCACTCTCCCACACTTATGCAAACACACATTATACTGCTTTGTACTGTACCACTGCATGTCCCTGTGTGCTCTGGCTAATGCAGCTCTGACCCAGGTCTCCAGCGCCGAGCCCAGCTCTCACCTTCTTTGTTACCCCAAGGCTGCTGGGGTACAGGATCTGCCATTTGCGTATTTTTGGAGCTGAGGGTTGACACACTGATGTTCTCAAACTGTCCATTTTGGGGAGACCTGTGGATTTACAGCCTGTCCCTTCTCTCAGCATTCACAGCTCTTTTCCTGACGTTTCCTCTGTCTTCATCACCTGCCCAGGGCTTTGTGCTGGGTCCTACCTGGAAAGGGTGCTGACAGTAAGGCCATCAGCATGAGAAAATGCTGGGAAGCCCAGAGACCATATAAGAAGTGGGGGAGTGCTGGGGAGTTTTGAGAACATGGTGGATGAATGAGGAAACTCTGAAACCATGGGAGGAAAATGAGGGCAATGAAGAGCCCTAAAACCCTGGGAGGTGAATGTGGAAATCCTGAGACCACGGAAAGAAAGGGAGTGCAGTGGAACTGCAAATGAGGGTGGTCCTGAAAAAATGAAGGTGCACTGATAAGACAGTGGGAGAGAGGAAGAACCACTAGGGAGACTTGGGAACATAAGGAAAAGGGGAGACCCCTCCCACCAAGGAGGAAAGATACCTAAGAATGTGGTGGGACCTTATCTGCCAAAGGAGGGTGATAAGACACTTCAGTCCAGGACCCAGTTGGGGTGTGGGGGGAGTCCAGAAACAGCTCTGACCCTCCCTGTCTCAGTCAGTGTTTCTGCAGAGAGAGGAATGTGATGGCAACCATTTAGCTAAGGTGGACCTGAGACAGCCAGCACCCTTCACCACAAGTCCTGCCCAACCAACCCAGTGGCCTTCTACAATGGAGTGATTGCATCAGTGAACAAGGAGAGGGCTATGCGTGTCTTCTGTCTGGACTTCTGTAAAGCCTTCAACACAGTCCTCCTCTGAACTTGAGATAAATGGAGTCAATGGGTGAACTGTTCAGTGGGCAATGTTGGACAGCTGCATCCAGAAGAGAATGGTCAATGGCTCAGTGTCCTCATGGGAACACTGGTGATAATGTTGGCCCTCAGGGATCCACCTTGGGACCAGTCTTATTTAGTACTTCTGTCAACAATGTGAACAGTGGGATCAACTGCACCCTCAACCTGCAAGTTTGCAAGTTACATCATGCTGGAGTGGTTTGACACACATGAAGACAGGATGCCATCCAGTGGGACCTGGAGAAACTTGAGGAGTGGCCCTTGGGAGCATCATGGCAAAGGGCTGGAACAACCCCTGGCACCAGCCCAGGCTGGGCATGAGCAGACCCAGAGCAGCCCTGCCCAGAAGGGCTTGGGGGTGCTGTGGGTGAGAGGCTGCACATGGCCCGGCCATGGCACTCACAGTCCAGAGAGCCAAACGTGTCCTGGGCTGCATCCAGAGCCCCGTGGGCAGCAGGGGAGGGAGGGGATTCTGCCCCTCTGCTCTGCTCTGCTGAGACCCACCTGGAGCACTGCATCCAGTCCTGGGCTCCCAGCACGGGAGGGACAGGGACCTGCTGGAGCAAGCCCTGAGGAGGCCATCAAGATGAGCAGAAGGATGGAGCACCTCTGCTGTGAGGAGAATTTGGATTTTTCAGCCTGGAGAAGAGAAGACTTCAGGGAAAACTTACTGTGGCCTTCCAGTACGAAAAGGGGCTACAGAAAATCTGGAGAGAGACTTTACACAAGGGCTTGTAGCAAAAACACAAGGGGAAATGGCTTCAGACTAAGAGGGCAGCTCCAAGAAGAGCTTCCATAGAAGGAGACTGGTGGAGTCAGCCCAATGGCATGGCAAGGCTGCGACTGGACTGCAGGTCCCTGACAGTCTCAGCTATCATGAAAACAAAGACTTGCCGTGTGTGGCTTTCCTGGAGAGTCCAGACATCCTCTCTGCTCCTAAAGCCCTGAGCTCCAGCCCCCACTGCCCACAGTGTCGCAGTTGCCACCACAAGGACACAGTGCAGACCCCATCCAGCCTCCGGTCCATGGTTTCCCTAGGCTGGTTCAGCATGGCTGCTTACTTGCCCAGCTTGATGTGTGGCTTCTCCTTTCTTCCCAGCTGCAGGATTTGCACTTTTACCCACTCCAGACTCCCATCAATACATTTCTCCAGACCTCTCTGTACTCCAGTCCTACCCTCTCTGTACCCCAGTCCTGTAATGTATATACTGGCTTGGTGCCCCACAGCAGCTTGAGGCCCCCCTGCCCTTCATCCAGTGCACTGATGAAGGCTCCAAGCACAAACCCCAGCATCAACCCTTCAGCGATTGCCAGGGGAACAAGGGTGTTACTGACACCCACAGCAGGCCTCACACCATTCAGATTTTCCAACCACACTCTTCTCCTGACCTCATATATCCCCACTTTGCCAGTGGAAAACCATGACCCAGACCTCAAAGGTTCCTCCATTGCTCTCCCCTTATCCACAGCCCACTGTTCCCACAACAGCAGGCAGGTCTGACAAATAATAAATCCTTGATAAATCCTGCCTGGCACAGGAGGTGCGCTACATCTTCTTCCTGGTATCAAGGCAGGACAACAAAGTTCAGCTCCAGACAGGTGATGGAGGCATAAGAAAGGGCAAGACAGGAGCTAGCTGCAAATAGTAGCAGAGGCAAGGGCAGCCAGGAAAACTATCTTACCTACCTTCACCAAACCACCCCCAGTGAAAGGCAGCAGAGGTGAGCTGGAAGGTTCGTGCAGACATCCCTTTGTTGAGGAATACCTCTGCTCCAGGCAGCTGGGCCTGCACAGTGCAGCTAGAGATGCAGATGGAAAAGCAGATTGAGCTCGGGGTGGGAGCCGAAGGCAAGGGGCTTTGAACTGCCACCCTTTGGGATAGCAAAGGGCAAGAAGATGAGTGGTGCCAGACAGATATATGGGCACTGAGAGACACAGCAGGAGCTAGGAGTTGCTGACCTTTTGGATAATGAAGGAGAGAGGTGATGAAAGCAAAGTGGATGGACACAGTCAGAGGACAAGGGAAGAGAGGAGGAGGGGCAAGGCTTGAGCACAAGCAGACACTGAGGGAATAAAAGCCCAGGTGCTCCTTTGTTAGGCATCCCTCCTCAGAGGAACCATCTCAAGCTGTTTCTGTGTTACTGTGCTGTGAATAAATGGCTTTGTGGAATGAGACATCTGACATTCTTCCATGGAAACCCTGCGACACGATGAGTGCCCATGGTCAACCCCCATGGTACCTCTGCCATCACCTATGTTCACCCCGTGCTGGGGCATCCCTGTGGCAGTGAATGGAGCTGGGTTCTCACCCAGGCTGGCCACTGTCAGCACCAGCCCCAGCAGCAGGTCCTTGTAGTGAATGTCATCCTCACTGGGGTCTGCAGGACACATGGGGGCAGCGAGCAGGGGCCTCAGCAAACTGCAGGTCAGTGTTGGCCCCACTCTGGGCCATGCAGGCAGCACAGCAGCAGTGCAGGAACCCAGTCCTGTCCTTTTCCATTGTGGTCAGGTGGCAGAGTTGTGGCTAAGACCATACTGTGTGGAGACACATCTTCATATGCAGAAAAGCAGAAGTAGTTGCTTTATTTGCAAAAAGTGTTTGGCCTTTTTTTTTTTCCCCTGCATATGCTCTCATTTTAAGCAGTGGGAGGGTGAATGAGCTCCCTCCTGCTCAGCATCCTCTGCGTTCAGGTCCCCAGGTTGTGAAGATCCCAAGCCCATGGGTACAGGCCATAGCAGGGCTAGCCTTCCCCATGGATCACCTTCCACCTCCCAGTCCTGCTCAGGCTGACAGTATGCACTGGCTGTGGGGGCTTGGTCTTTTGCATGTGCTGGGAGGAAGTCCCAGGGAGGTCTGTGCCAGAGCAGCAGGCTGCTGGAACAACCCAGTGGTCTATACCGAAACCAGAACAGCCTCTGGGACCAAACAACTCCAAATCCAGGTCTAGCAGGACTTTTAGGCTCTCACACATCACTCAGCCTCAAAACAAAGTGAGGGTGTTTGCTGGAACCTCCTCAGACTGAGCAGGCATCAGCAAACAAGCTGCTGCCCAGCAAGTCCTCCATGGGAATGCAGAAGCAAAGGGTCACCTCTCAGCAGCATGTCACAAGAAGCAAAAGCCACAGACAACCACCACGATCAGAAAGCCCAGAGCTTTCATGGGCAGCTTTTTTTCATGCACAGGAGCTGCTGCTGAATGCTGCCTTGGTGCCATGGGCATGCTTGGATTCCTGCTGGCTCGATGCTGGCTCCTGGCCACAGGATGCAATTTCCCACTTCAGAGTGATGCAGCCGAGTCTGAGAGCTGAAGGATGCACCTCCATCTTATCACCCCCACACCCCAAAGCCAGCTGGAGTTATTGGCAGAATTTATTGGCAAAGTGCAGAGTTCTGGAGGGTAAAGAGGCCTGGGCCAGGAGGCAGTGGAGCCTGGGAATGCCCATGCTCTGGGGTCAGGCTGGGAACAGGGTGGTGGCACAGGCTGGGGGTCACCATGGCCATCAGGGCCTCACACAGCTGTAGGTGGTGTTTCCCCAGAGGAAGGCAGGAGGCGAGGACTGGAGCCACTGCACAGTGGCTGCACTCTGCTTGCAGACCCATCTGAGGGCTTCTGTGCATGCACCACCTAAAAGTCCCAAGCCTGACACCCTGCCACAAGCCTGGAAAGAGCGGGTGTAGCGCTGGATGAGGAAGATCCTGCAAGGGAGAGAGTGGGCTGAGATGGGATGGACAGGGAGAACTGAGGCTGTCCCATCAGCAGCTCCTGCAGCCAGGGACCAGACACTGCACAGGGATGCTGTGGGGGCAAAATTTGCCCTCCCCATGAAGCACAGTCTCTTGCCAGCCTCCTCCCAATTAGGCCATATGCCCTGATGCCCCCAGCCCCATCCCTCATGACGTACCCCGAGATAAATCCTAGCAGGGCTCAGCACTGACCAAACTGGGAGCCTGCTTTTGCAGGATCCCCTGCAGCCCCTCACCCAGGCAGAGCGTGGGCACCAGGGTCAGGTGCACCCTGCTAAAAATGCCCCTTCCTGAAAATGCCCCAACGCAGTCCTGTGAAGAAAAGAGGTGGCCAAAATATGGATCACATCCCTGCATGCCTGTCCCCATCACCACCCCAAGCCCTGATGATAGACCTTCAGCACACCTAGCTGGGAACAAGCTGACAGCCTCACCCTTCCAGTGTGGTGCCATCCAGCCACTTCCACTCAGACCTGAAGCCATCCTGCTTCAGCCCCACATGAAAGGCATCCATATTAGCTGTGCGTACCAGGAAAGCCTAGCACAGGAGAGGACCCACATGAGCCCCCTGGAGGGACATCCAGCCCAGCCACATGATTAGTGATGGGGCTGTGCTGTATGGGCACAGCATTGCCAGCTCCCTGCCTGGAGGCTTTGCAAGGCTTTGGGCACATGGGCCGGGAAGCTGAGACAATGCTGTGCGTGGGTGACTGCTGAGGGACCATGAGGTGGCCACCAGGACAGCCCAATGCTCACAGGGAGTTGGACAGGCCAGGCTGGGTGTACTTACCAGGGTGGTGTTGGCTTGGATGGTGACCAGCTGGGCCCCTCTGGAGCAGCAGTCCTCTCTGCTCTGCTCCCAGTTCTTTTTGGCAGAGGAAAAGTAGTAGCACTGCCCCGCATCCCAGAGCCAGCCAACTGGGCAAAACTGGCATCGCCCTGCACACCAGAAACACAGCGGGTGGGATGGGGCATCCGGCAGGGGCTGCCACCATCCCCCAACCCAAGGGACAAGAGAGTGATAGGGGTCAGTCAGGGCACCACCCAACCCATCGTGCTCATATGCCTGCCCCACAGAGACCACTCTGCATTTGCCCTCATTTGCAAGCCCAGCTACAACTTTCCAGTCCCAGAGCCCTGGGAAGAGGGGCTAGTTACAGGAGCATGCTGGCATTGAGCAGGGCAGGGAGCTGCAGGTTTGGGGACATGATACAAAGACAATTTCCGAAGTGCTGGGAACTCAGATATGGTTTTAGCTGCATCAGAAGCTGGTGTCATCTGGCACAGGAATGCTGGTGGCATCCAGGAGCCTGGTGCTGGTGGTGTGCCCAGGTAACAGTGAGCTGTCTGGGGTCATCTCTTCTAAAGGGGTCCCAGCAGTTCAGCCTATTCAGCAGTGCTAGAGCAGCTCCCCACACCACAAGCCAGGGGACAGGCAGTAAAGGTGAAGGAATGTGTAGGGATAGAGTTCAGGGAAACATCCTTAAGTACTGACAAATCCTGCTGCTTGAAAGAAGCAGGAAGACCCTCTCCAAACCTTACCCAGGAGCACACCAGGCTCTCTTACCTTCCAGTGTCTGTTTCCCATAGCTGGGGCTCTCCTCTGTTCTCCAGGGACCATCTGTGCAGCTTGTTTGCTGTTGCACTAAATCTACAGCAGAAGAGCACAGGTGTGTCCCAGCAACTCTGGGCTCCTGCTCCCAGCAGCACCCAGTGGACAGCCTCATGGCTGTGGGTGAGCCTGCCAAGGTCCTTGCAGATTTTGCTGTGCTTGGGAGCCCTTCACGCAACAGGCTTTCGGGGAAAGTGCTGCTCTCTTTCAGTATCAGTATCAGCGCCTTCCCTCCTGCCTTTCTTTCACTGCCATCTGATGGAGTGGCTTTCCCCAAGCCCACACTGTCGCCCCAGCTTCCTTTTCCAGTTACGTAGGTGGTGTCTTGCTTCATCAGTTTTCCTGTTTTCTCCAGAACCCATGATGGCCACAGCCCCAAGAAGAAGCACCCAGCTTCATGGGGAATCTGCAGCTCAGGCTGTCAGTGCACAAGTGCTGTGATGCCAGCCCTGACCCCATGACCCCCTCTGCAGAGATCTGGGCACTGGATGGCTGGTACTTACAGTGCAAACTCAGGCTGACAAGGATGATCTGTGCCAGCAGGAGCATCAGGGAGAGGAGACCCAGGCTGAAGGCTGCCCAGCACCAGGGCAGGCGTGCTCGCTGCTGAAGAGCTGAGAAAAGGAGTTAATATAGATGGGGGTTGTGGGGGGAGGAGGGGGTAGTTTGGAGGGAGCAGTGGGGAACCTTGAGCCAGGAATTGTCTGTGAATCCCAGGTGGGATGTTAGGAGGCAGTAAGGGAGAGCCTGTTTGCAGCAGATTGATTGTTCTTGAAGTTATCTCCCTGCATGAAATGCTTGGTGGGGAGAGGAGAGTAGAAGTGTCTTTGTTGTGGCATGGGAATGCAGTGGACATTCCCTGCCTTTGAACCCCTCCTGCCCCCACCCTGAGAGCAGGCAGTCTGCAACAGGGCTGGAGAGGAGCTGTTTGAGAGAGGATAAAAAGGAGGGAGCAGGACTGGGAGGACATTTCTGGGGAAGCAAGGGGTTGCAGGAGGTTAGAGAACCCACTGAGAGAGTTGGGGGGCCATTACCTGGTGTGGGGGGAAAGCGCAGGTCAGCATACATGACACCCTCTTCCATCCCTTCCTTGGTCTCCGGCTCTGCAGCCCTCAGGGGCAGCGACAGCCCTTTTCCAGCCCAGCTTCTCAGACGACTGTGATGCAAAATGGAAAGTGTCACTTCCTGGTGGGGTCCCCAGAGGCAGCACCTGGCACAAAACGCAGGGGGCTTGTGGGACTGCCAGCCACTAGGGGCGAGGGGCAGCCCTGTTGAGGCCAGCATCCCGGCATCCCAGCAAGAGGGAACCACACAGTCCTGGCTTTGGGACAGCAAGCAGTGGGAATGGCTGCTGGCTCAAACATGCAGCCGGGGCTGGGCTAGGCAGCTACATCATGGAGTTGTAAAGGACCTTAAAGGTCATCTCGTTCCAAGCCCCTTGCCAAGGACAGGGACACCCTCCACTAGATCACGCTCTTCAGAGCCCCATCCAACATGACTTTGAACACTTCCAGGGATGGGGCATCAACAGCTTTCCTGGACAACCTGTGCCAGTGCCTCACCACCTTCACAATAATTTTTCTTCCTAACACAGGAAAAGTCATATGGGGAGCAGCTGAGGTCACTTTGTTTGCTCAAGCCTGGAGAAGAGGAGATTGTGGGGAGACCTCATCACAGTCTGCAAGAGGAAGCAGAGAGGCAGACACTGATCTCTTCTCTCTGGTGACCAGTGGCAGGTGTCTCGAAAGGTTTAGGTTAAATATTAGGGAAAGGTTTCTTGCCCAGAGGGTGGTTGGGCACTGGAATGGGCTCCCCAGAGAAGTGATCACAGCACCAAGCCTGACAGAGCTTAGGAAGTATTTGGACAACGTTCTCAGGCACACAAGGGGATTGTTGGGGGCGTCCTGTGCAAGGAGCTGAACTTTGACAATCCCAGTGGGTCCCTTCCAGCTCGGGAAAGTCTGTGATTCTGTGATGAATATCAAAGCTAAACCTGCCCTCTGACAGTTTGAAGCCATTCCTCCTTCTTTTATCACTACACACCCTTGCAAAAAGTCCCTCTCCATCCCTCTTTAGTCCTTCTGGTACTGGAAAGCTGCTTAAGGTCTCCCCAGAACCTTCTCTTCTCCAGGTTGAACAAGTGTAGCTCTCACAGTCTGATCTGCCCTAGGGACTGCAATGGAAGACTGGGTATCTTTGGGGCACAGGGCACATTCCCTTGCTCCTCTCTCCATGGAGCAAAGCCACAGGGTGTTTGCTTACAAGCTCCCTTTTTTTTTTTTTTTTTTTTTTTTTTTTTTTTTTTTTTTTTTTTTTTTTTTTTTTTTTTTTTTTTTTTGCATAGGGCTACAGCTGCATCTCAGCTCTGGAAAATGGGGGATTAGGGTGCTCCTTACCAGCCTCCAGGGCTGCCGTGATGGCCATCCCTGCCATGACCTCGTAACAGGGAGCGGCAGAGTGCCCCCGAACCCCTGGGAGCCTGCAGGCAGACAATGACCCCGCTCCGAGCTGGCGGCTCTCGCTGCGGGAGGCGGTCTCGTCCAGGACTACGTTTCCCAGCGGCTCCTCCCGAGGCTGCACATGCTCGCTCGATGCAGCTCCCGGCGCCTCTCGGCAGCTCCCGGCGCGGCGCCCGGTGCGCCCGGCGGCGCGGCGCTGCTCGGCGCGGATCCCGGGGCAGCCACCGGGCCGGCTCCCGGCGGTTCCCGTGCAGCTCCCGGCGCTGCTCCCGGAGCGCCTCCCGGTACCGGCCCCGGCGGGGCATCCTCCCGGTGCGCCTCGGGAGCGCACGGCCAAGCCCCGCCGCCGGCCCGGGCCCGAGCGATCCCGAGCACCCCCTCCTCGGGCCGGCAGCATGCCCCGCGGGCAAGCCTGGACGCAGGCGGAGGTCAGGAGCCTCCTGTCGCGGGTGGAGGGCACGGGGGAGGCCGCGCTGCTCATGGCCTCCACGTCGCGTCCCAACGAGACGCTCTGGCGGGAGATCTCCTGGGGTCTGTCGGAGGCCGGCTACGAGCGCACCGTAGCCCAGTGCCGCTCCAAGTGGAAGGCGCTCAAGCAGGCTTTCCACTCGGAGCGGGAGACGTGCCGGAGGACAGGACAGCACTCGCCCCGGCTGCCGCCACACTACCGAGCCATGAAGGCTATCTGGAAGGCGGCCGGGCGGCCCGTGTTTGGTGATCGGAGGCTGCCAGGTGGGTGCCGGGGACGGGCTTGTGGGCTTAGCAGGGTGGCTGGACGTGGGGTGCTAGAGGAACACCGGTGCTGCGTGGACACCCAGGATCTGCTGATGGTCTTTCTCTTCCCCTAGGCATGGTGAACCTGTCCTCCAGAAGGCGCAGGTCAGGCCTTGCCACACGCCCTCCATCCTCACCAGAGACACCAGGTACTCGTGGGCGCAGGCAGCTGGAGTCGGGCTTGTCCTGGCTGCGAGGAGGCGGACACCCCTCTTCCCTCAGTTACTGAAGCTCTTTTCTGCACCCCTTCACCTCCTTCTGCAGAGCACAACGTTGGCGGGGACACCTCCAGCACACTGCTTTCACCCGTGCTGCAGCGTGCAAAGGACGAGCCAGAGAGTTGTAAGTACTGAGCTGCCCTGCTGCACTGAGCTGCATGGCCACGGCTCCAGCCCAAGCCCATGCCAGCGTGATAGGAGTGGGAGGCTAAGAGGATCAGGGGATCCATCACATGTCCCTCAGCAGGGATGGTCAACGATGGGTGTGTTTGGACTTGTCTCTGCTGGCTTTGGCTCCAAACCAGCCCCAGAGCATGTGGCGATGGTGACGGCTGGGATAGGCCAGGAGGGGGTCCCAGCCTGAGGGAATGGCAAGGCTGCTGGCTGCGCTATGGCAGATCATGAGGCGAGAGGTCTGGAAGGGGCAGTGGCCCTGATACAGCGCAGGGATATTGTGGCTGGTAGCATTGCAGGGCATGTGACTCCCTTCCCTTCAGCAGTTCCCAGCTCCTCACTTGCCCAGTAACACCATAAAGCTTCAGATGAGTTTGGGCTGTGTGTGAGGGCTAGAGTTGCCTGCAGCTCCCCTGCCCTTTAGCCCAGCCATGTGTGTAACCTGCACACCCCTCACTGCTCACACTCCTGGGGATTTGGCACTGAGGTGATGCAGGATACATCCCTGAGTCTGGTTTGCATGGGCGCCCCGGCCATCTTCCCACACTGGGTAACTACCTTCTGTCTCCCCAAATTCCCCCTGCAGTTTCAAGTGGATGTGGGATTCTCCTTCTCTTCCAGTCTTAGTCTGCTGTGTAGCGTTGCTGCGTGCTGCTCTGCCGCTGCTGCCTTCCAGCCCAGAGCATTGCAGTGGTGGGTGAGTGAGTCCTGCTTTTGTACCTAGCTCTGAAGTGCTTTGGGGCCCTGCAGGGCGCTCTGGAGCTGTGGCTAGGGCATGTCAGGCTGAGGGGCTGGCTGGGGTAAGCTGGGCAGACCCCAGGCTGGTGGTGATTCACCAGCAGGTCCCTTCAGAAGGCATATCTCTCCTCTCTGCTTTCTCCCAGCAGCTGGTGAGGAACACATTGCTGGAGTGCCACTTACACCCACTGCCATGCCACGTAAGGCTTTCCTTGCCCTGCTCAGCCGAGTAAACTCCCTCGGCCCCACAAGCAGGGTCTGATATGGTTCTCGTTGCAGATGCTGGTTGCTGCTTCTCTCCCCGCTCCCTTGTGGGTGAGTACCATGCCCTGGCTACCATGCCTGTGTGCCCTGGGGCAAGAGTTGGCTGCAGCTCACAGGCTGTCACACTGACCTGAAGCAGGAAGGAGCTGAGGGAAAGGCCAGTAAAGTGTCTGCAGCTTTGTGTGAGTCCTCGTGCTCCAGGGCACAGCTTCATCCTGTCCATCCATCCTGGGATCATGAGCTCCGAGAGGCATTGCCCTCCCAGGGCTCTCTGTTGTAGCTAGGCTAAATTTGGGGCTTGGGTGTCTCCATCATTCTTGTTGTTTGCTCCATGCCAAGCTTTTGTAACAGGTTTTCCTGGTGAGACGTCCCTGGGGATGGGAAGAAGAAACCAAGTGCTGCCATTGGCTGCTGCAGCCACAGGCTCCCACGAGACATCAGCCATGAGTGGACTGCCAGCAGCAGGTGAAGATGCATCAGACACAAGCCTGCATGGTGGGTGCTCCCTGCAGCTTCCTGGCAGCCTCACAGGGTACTCTTGGAGCCATGGTGAGGTGCCACTGACCCCTCTCTCACTGCAGGGTCAGGCATGGCAGGCTTGCTCCAGAATGTGCAGCAACTGCTGGTGCAGATCCTGCAGACATCACGGCAGCAGCAGGCACTACTGGAGAGTCTGGCCAGTGACACAGTCTCCCACCTCCACCATATCTCCCACAGCCTTGTGCAGGTGGGCGAGACCCTGCACCAACTCCTGCTCCGACCACATCCTGGCCCCATTGGCCACTATGTCCCCCACATGCCCCTTTTTGAGGGTGGCTCTTGCTCCTGTGGTGCTCCTCACACTTTCCTGGACCACAAAGAGGAGCCTCAGCTGTCCTGTGATGCCAGGTGCATCCCACCCTGAGTGCCACCATCACTGGCCCCAGGATTTGGTACAGAGCTTAGCACAAATCTTTATGTCAGAGGTTCCAGATATTTTGAAAGTTTATACTAGAGAGACATTTTGATGAAATTAAAAATAGCTTTTCTACCAGTGATGGCAACTGACCAATTCTTTCCCCCTCTCTGGGGAATGTTCCCCTTCTCACTTTCGAGATGAGCATGAGGGGAACTCAGCTGTTTACAGACTTAGAGAAAGTCCCAACCCACACAGCAAGGGACAGATGTACTTTTCCTACCCTGTGGTGGTCATCACACCTTCCTGGGAGATGCTGGGCTGTGGAGCAGAGCAGGGCCACTGCCAGGAGTGGAGGCCAGGAAGCCCAGGCTGCATCTTTCTCCAAAGGAAGAGGCTGAGGTGGATGATGCTGCAGTGTGTGCAGCAGCCACAGTCCCTCGGTGTCCAGGTCCTTGGCAGGGATCTTCCAGGGAACAATCTGGGACTTTCACACCCAGTACTGTGAGCTTGCCACACTTCTGGTGAGGCCCTTGTGCTCCATGAGAGATCCTCCTGCTTCAGTACATGGATCATCATCAGGTAACAGTAGCTGCAGAAATACCATGGCATGTGCCTAAAGAAGAGACCTCTGACTTGCCTGGACCCCACCACATCCTCCGTGGGGATGGGGCAATGTGCTGTCTGCCTCCAGAATCTCTGCCACATCCAAGGAGTGGAAATGTACATCGTGTAGACATCATGAAAGTGGTCCTGCCATGCCAGATGCTGTGTGCTGGAAGTGTGGCAGGTGGTCTGAAGAGCAGGAAGACAGTGTAGAGGCCAATCCATACCAGATCAAGCCCAGCCAGGAAGATGGGCAAGCAGTCCGTGTTGAAGCAGTTGTCATCTTGTCTTGAGGATGTGTGGATGATGAATCCGCTGCCTGGATACCATACATGACCTTCAGGGTGAGGTTGCAGTACATGTCCCTGTAGCTCCCCAACTAGATGTCCCTGAACTCCTGCCTTTTCAACTGCACACCCTGGCCTGTTGCCTGCCCCACCAGCTTCCAAGAGTTTGTCTGGGCACCCCACATCTTCCAGGTCCACACACCAGCTGACTGGAGCACCCCACACATGGCCAAGCTGTGAAGAGGGACCAGGGGCACAGTCACAGGGCCCAACAGCAAAGTGGCGGGGGGGCAGCAGGTATCACAGCAGCAGTGAGCAACAATGTCACCACCAAGACATCTAGCAGGGGAGAAACATGGACAGGTAGTGCTGGAAAGGCCCCTGACCCCCTGGCACTCTCCCTCATCCCATACCAGCTGTGCACCCTGGGTGGGAGAGAAAGGTATGCCACAGAGGCACACAGGCCTTGTGATGCAGTGGGCAGGGAGCTGGGGTGTGTGGGGGCTGCTGGAAGCAGGGCCAGCCCTGGTGGGCATGATGCTCCCACCGCTGTGTACAAAACATCCTCTGTGCTCCCAAGCACGAGCAGAAACCGCCTGGCTGCTGGCCAGCAGCTCTGGCCCCAGGCTTCACAGCGATGGGGCCACTGCCTGCAAACATCTCTGCCACGGATTTCTCTTCCTGGGACCTATCAGGGCGGGCAAAGAGAAAGGTGGGGTCTCTTTTCCTGAGCCCTGTTGATTGCACAAGTTGCAATGGCTGGGCTGTGGTTGTCCACGCTTCACACGGATCTTGATGTGTTCACCATCATTCCACTGATTGCCTTGTCGTGCTCCCATCATCCCACCACCACATTCCCCAACACTCTGCCTTGCTCCCTACCATTCTGCCATGCTCCTCACTTGAGTCTACACCTACTCCTTCCAGCCCTGGGACACCATAGTACCAATACATCAGCTCTGGGGTACTGGGCAGTGGGGTGGGCTGTCCCCTCCCCATTCAGGAGGTGAAAAGGAGTGAGGGGTGCTCTGAGATGGGGGTCCAGGAGGGGGCTGGCTGCTGAGGAGGGTGGTGTGGCAGCAAGGATTGAGCATGGGGTGTCCTGGGGGCTGCAGGTCAAGATTGCATGGGATAGCACCAGAGGTACAAGTGGGTCATAGCAATGTGGGAACCGGGTGTTTCAACGGGATGGTGTGAGGTGGGTGCAGTGAGAGGTGCAGGGGTCGCTGTGAGGGGTGCAGGGGTTACCGTGAGGGGCGCAGGGGTCACAGTGAGGGGGGCAGTGGGGGGTACAGTAAGGTGCAGGGGGTGCAGCGAGTGGCGCAGGGGGTTGCAGTGAAGTGCAGTGAGGGGCCCCGGAGGGTGCCGGGGCTGCACAGCGGCGCACAGGAGACGCGCGCCGCTGCAGGGACCGCGGTCTCCGCGGCGCAGCTCCCCGCCTGCCCGTGCGGGGCGTGGTCTACCTGGAGTGACAGTTCCGCGACCAATAGAAACTCGGGAATGAGAGGATGGGCGGGTCTCCCGGGCACGCCGCCCAATCGCGGGGGGGGTCGGGACAGAAGGGGCGTGGCTCCATGCCGTGACGGGCGGGGCAGCCCCGGCTCCTGGGAGGGCCCGGAGCGCGGCCCTCAGGGGCGGGGGCACCGCCGCCCCGCGTGGCGGCCCCCGTGCCGGGGGCTGACCCTGTGCTCCAGCCTCTGCTCGCAAAGCATCCCATGCTCCAGGCTTCCCGTGACCCCTGCTGGGGCTGGACTACTCCAGCTGGGACCCAGGGCGGTGCCAGAGGGGCGGTGGGACAGGGCGGTACCCCAGTTTCTTCCCAGCGAACCCCGAGTCCTGGGATGCAGGTGGCCGTTCCAGCGAGCGTTAACGGGCTGGCACAAGGGATGCAGGTGTGCGAGGGTCTGAGGGAGACACAGCCGTCGCCTTTCCTGCGGGTCACAAGCCCTTCCTGGTGAGACCCTCTCCCTCCAGACACATGGGATGGGTCTGCACTTGCAGGGCTGGAGTGACAGCCAGGAGAACACAGGAAAAAAAGGGCGGCCTTCTGGGGCACGCACGATCTTCTCCAGGCTACGGATGCAAGTGAAAGCACCAGCAAGTCTCAGCAGTGGCTGTGGGGCCTTGAGGATGTTGCTCTGGGCAGACTGGGCATACAACTCCTTCGGCCTCTGCCACACACAACAGCTTGCAACAGGGCAGCTGAAACAAAGCAGCCAACTGCCAGGGCAGGTAGAACGGATCCCTGGGGTAGTGGACAATTGGGGGGAGGATTTTTCCTTGTTTTTAACCCATTCTGGAATAAGTCAAAGCTGTACCACTCTCCTGATCCTCTTCCTTCTGCATGGCCTGCCCCATGCCCGGAACCTATGTTTAATGTCTAGAAGAATTGAAATAATAAAGTTGCGCTCTGCCAGTGGCAGCAAGATCTTTGCCCCTGTACCTCACTCCCAGCCAGCACTGTAACCTGGAGGTGATGCTCTGTGTCCAGTTGAGCCTGGTCCCATCTCACAAACCTGCAATACAACTACTGTGACTCAAATGACTGCCCTGAGAGCAGCTTTGGCTGTGTCTGTAGTTGGCTGCTAATAGTTGAATGTTCAGTCCTGTGTCTTCCCCACTGCATCAGCCGCTTCTCCTTCATGTCCCAAAGAGTGCCCCAAGGCCTGGGGTGACCTGGTGAGGGGTACACAAAACTCCTGGCCACAGCTCACCCTGCAGCCCAGCTCCAAATGGCCATCCTGACAAAAGCCCCTCGCCACAGCAAAAGCATGAGGTGTTGGTATTAGGAACACAACATGGCTCTTGAGCCTTATGAAATCCTTCTCATAAACTCCAAATATTGGAGGAGAGGTTTAGCATTGTAGGTGTGACTCCCACCAGCACCCTGTGCACACACTGCACCTGCGTCCTCACGCCTCTCCCTGTGCCAGTGGTCAGTGTCCACAACTCAGTCCTCTCTCCCAGGCTAATGGATGCCCAACCTGCTGCCAAGAATGGGCCTGCAGCCACTCAGGGAGGGTGTCCAGAGGGTTGGATGCCACTGGGCTCTCAGGCAACCCAGCTGGCCTTTGATCCCTTCTCTATTGCACTTTCTTTTAAAAACATGATGTTTTTGAATGGAAATAGAATCACTTTCTCTAGCAGCTCTTGGTTCTTCATATATGGAATAGAAGGCAATGACAGAGTATTTTGGCTCATGGACATGACCTGAAGGTCTCACACACCACAAAACAGTGTTCAGAATCTCCCCACCAAACAACCATCCAGATGGGGTACAGCGCAGCATGGATTAGGCGGAGGTATAATTCTAAAATCCAGAATTTAAGCAGGAGAGGGTGTCTAAGGACAAGGAGAGGAAGCTGCTTTGATGTGTATCAGGATGTTTATCTTGATATCAAAAGCCCTAGTTCTCTTTTTAATGAAGTGGCTCCTCCCTTTGAAGTGGATCCTCCTGTGCTGTGCATGGCTGCAGCTCAGGGAGATCCTACACAGACTTCACCCTCCTCAAACGTTAATTTTTCTCCTGTGATTTGCATAAAAACTATGAGACCAAAGTGAAAACTCAGGGATGAGAGCAGCCAAGCTGCCTTTGGATGTGCGGGACAGAGGATGGGGGTCAGAAGGATTTTTGAAGGTAGGTTGAAGGCAGGGTGCCTTCAGGGAGATGCTGTGCCTGGGAGCACTTGGCACCTCCCTGCAGCAAGTACAGCCTTGAGTGTACCAACATTTATGAGGTCCCTTGTGAGGAAGTGGGTGTTGCTCCAGGACTTCCCCCACAACAGGGAGTAAGCCTCCAGCTCAGATTATCCATCTTCACAACAGGAGACGACTTCATTAGTTAATTAGAACAACAATCCTCATGGGCTCATCTGGGATTTGTAGTTGTGCTGGCAGGAGGAGATTTGCTGACTGCAGGCAAGCCCTGGGGCAAAGCTTCTCAGGAGGACTTGGCACACAGAGCCCTCAGGGACTTACCTCCCTTCCTGCTGAGCCAGGAGCCTCTGGATTGCACTTGTTCCAAGCCCATGTAGTTTTAGCCAAAACATTCCTCTTCAAAATGCAGAGCCTTGTGTTTTAGCTGTGGAGGTGATGAAGCATATTTATGTAAAGTAAGAATAATCTGTAATATTCCTTTCATTCTAGGCACCTCTCTCAGTCCAACAGGAAGCTTTAATATTATTTCTTTAATGCAGGCTACATTGAGAGCTCTGTTCATACATTACAACATATTGCTCAGCACTTGGGA